CTATAGAAGCATTTAGTGATGGTACAATGGGTACTTTATCCTCAAGCAAGAAATCTATTACAACTTAATGTGATATCCTTAACTGGGTAACAGACACGCAAAGGCAGGTGTGTGGCAAAAGAACTGGGCTTCCTCCACAGTGCAGCTAACTCCTCAATATAATGCTTGGATCCCAGGGATCCAGAAGGCTTTCACAAAATGCAAGACAACAAAACTATTCTTTTCAAAGGGAGTAAGAAGTAAAAAGCAAAGTCAGTTATGGAAGGACCTCTTCCAGTTTCTCCTTCCCTCCACCTCCCAGGTGCTCAGTGCTAACTGCATCGTGATGCCTCAGATTGCACAGAAACCAGACGCTGTGGTCCTGCATCCCCACCTCAACTCTTCTATGATCTGCAAAGGTCCTTAAAGAACAGGGAGCTGTGATGTCCTGTAGGCTGTGGCATGAGGTCTGATGCTTTTGGTCAGTGCCATTTAGTCTGAGAGTTCACCTACAGATGATGGTGGCATGTTCTGCCCAGGGGTTTGCTCATTGTCTTGCTTGCCACAGAGGGAGTGCCATTGCCCAGATAAGAAATTTGGTTTTGATGGTGCCTAAAGCCATTTCCAGCCATCATTTTACCTCTAATGAAAGGAAATCTGATTCACCTGAAACCGAAACAGGCACAGAGGGGATGAGACAACAGTTCAGAGCTTCCTGTCCTTAAAACTTTCAGTTTATTTCCTGGCATCAGGCTGTGAATCCTAGTTCACACAACTAAGCAGCATGTTCCAGATCTTAATGTGCTGAGCATATTTGGCATATGCCCAGCCTGTAGTGCATTCAGGTCAAGGATCATGGAATCAGCTCCCTTACTCTCACAGGGATTTTCTGGTTAAGTATGCTACCTTCCAAAATAATTTAATTTTTTAAATATTCTGATGTAATCTCACATCCTTTTACTCCCCCCTATTCATAGAACAGAAGAAAAAATAGGCATACCACCTTTGGAACACTTTCAAAAGAAAAATAACAGGAAATTAATGTGGAATGAGCATGTGAAACTTGCCCCCAAAATCTGAGATACTTTGACAGTGTGGGACAACTCACAGGACATGTCCAGTTGATTCTTCCTTGAGGCCAAAGAAGTATTTTATGTGGAAAAGATGGTTCTTCAGAAGTCAAGAACCATGCACCCCACTGTATCCCTGGCTGGAGGACTGATGCAAGGAAGGAAGGACATGCTTGGGAATCCCCTCCTCTTCTCCATAATGCAATATCGAATCATGGAATCATTTAGGTTGGGAAAAACCTCTAAGATCATTAAGTCTAACTGTTAACCCAGCACTGTGAGGTCCACCACTAAACCATGTCCCCAAGTGCCACATCCACATGTTTTTTGAACACTTCCAGGAATGGTGATTCTACTACTTTCCTGGACAGCCTGTTACAATGCCTAACCACTCTTACAGTGCAGAAATTTTTCCCAATATCCAATCTAAACTTCCCCTGGTACAACTTGGGGCCATTTCCTCTCATATGTCACTTGTTGTCTGGGAGAAGAGACTGACCCCCACCCTGATACACCTCCTTTCAGGTAGCTGTAGAGTTGTAACATCTCCACCTGAGCCTCCTTTTCTCCAGGTTAAACAATCTCAGCTCACTCAGCCACTCCTCATAAGACTTTTGCTCCAGACCCTTCAACAGCTTCATTGCCCTCCTTCTTCAGTTATGAAGTTGTGACGCCTATATACTCTTCTCAGGACATTTTACTTTCATTCTACCATTGGTGCCTACAAATGTAATTAGTTGCAGGAACCTAAAGGAACTTTGCTCTGTTAAACCTTCTTCCTGCATTATTTTCCTATCATGTTTTTCATGTTCCCTAACTGATCTTTCACTGGGATAGCTGAGATCAGATGGAATAAACCCATAAATTCTGAAGAAAATGAAACTGTTGCTTTATGCAACTCATTGCTTAAATCTGCCTTAAACGCTACCGTGCCAGAAGAATGGAAGGTGGAAAATACGACTAGTGAAAGTACTTCTGAGCTCACTGAAATCAGTGCTTGGTGTCTGTGCCAAACAACTTACTGGAAAATATAATAAAGAATAGAATTGGTAAACTGAATGATATGTTGGAGAAGAATCAGCATTGCATACCAAGAAGGATGTCATGTTTTGCAAAACCATTTGAAGTTCAAGGAGTGATATTTATTTAGATAAGGATGGCTTCGATAACATTATATACCTGGATTTTAAAAAACTTTTGAGCTGGTCTTTCACCATATACTCTCAAAATGTGATCATATGGGATAAACAGAATGGACAAAAATATCATCTAAAAGAAAGCTCATCATTAGATTACACAATATAATGCAGTTTCCAGAACCCACAAAAATCTCTGCTGTTCAACATCTTCAGAAATTTTATGGAGAAGTTTAATGCCATGAGGTCAACTGGCAAATAATACAAAATTCATCTGAAGAGACAAATCTTAAACTAGTTATTGAGAATATCACAAGACATTTAGAAAAAAAAAGGAAATACTTTTATCTTCGATTAGTAAGTTGAATTGACTTGCTGAGAGGTCACACCAGTGACAAAAGCATACAGAGGTTGTGCATCTAGGGAAAAGGTGGAAGCACAGAGGGAAGGAAAAGTGGGACAAGCTGTTTTGGTAGCAAGAAGCTGTTTGATTCACTCGGCTGTATTGCTTGATAGCACTTTTAATGTGACAGGATAATAAATGACAAGTGATGCACCCATGAAAGACAACCCTTACCTTCTGTATTCACTGGTAAAACAGCAACTCCACTCAGGAAAGAGGTCTCAGATCTCTTGTTCATGACTTTTTGAAAAGAATAAGCCAGGAAGTGAAAAGGAACCCACGCAATGTTTGGAAATAGTAAGAAAAAAACAGAAGTAAGAAAGAAGCAGGGCAGTGCTGCTGTAAAACCACATCTTGAATGTTGCATGTAGTTGTGTCCACTTTGTCTGAAAAGAAGTATAAATAGAAAAGATACAGAGCAGGATGAAAATAAAGATCGGGAATGGTTTCTGTTTGAGGGGCCCATGCTGAAATCCCAGAGCAGACTATGGATTTAGTGCTGCAATGCCACTCCACACTTCTTCATGTTGTCATTGGGCTGGTTCAGCACAGTAACCTGGTAGAAAACACACACCCACTAAAAAAAGGGAAGAGTTTCCTGCTAGGTGACTGAGCTGAAACAGCATAGCCACATCTCTGGATGTGGGCAGGGGGACACACGATGTACGGAGGAAAGTGGCAGCCAGTCCTAGGAAACCTATGTCTGCAGCTGTAGCTTCACAAGCCATTTTGGCCAGCTTTGCTGCTGAAATTAGGCCCATGCTCCTTTGCCTTCAGCTACTCGCTGTCACCCCTAAAAGCCTCTTCCTTTTGGTGTTTGTGCAGCTGTGCAGCTACTTGGGGGGAGGAACTGATCTGAAATAACATCAGTAATTTTTGTTGGGTTACTCTGATCGGGTTTGCCGCATTCTAGCACAAGAAGAGGATGTAGCCAAAGGACAGGAAAAAGCAATGGGGACTGGTGGGACTGCTTCTTTGAGCAGTGCCAGCTCAGAAAGGTTGGGGAACAAATAATAGAACAAAGCTCCATAGTTCAGGAAAAAGGATGGTTCTGAAATCATATGAGAGAGGTCTATAAAATGGTATGGTGAAAACAAATAGGGCATGATCATTCACTGTTTGCTAGATGACGAAAATTCAAGTACCCTGTAAAATTATTAAGCACTGGACTTAAAACTGGTGAAAAAAAGTTCCTGTTGTCTAGCCTTTGTGCACATTTGGAACCTTCCTGACACTCCTGAAAACCAGGAGCACCAACAGATCAAAAAAGCTATTTGACAAATTCAGAGACAAGAGATACATTTGTGGCTATTAGTGTTGCAGTGGACACAGTTTTTACCTGAGAGCTCTTCCTCTGAACTTTTGGAGATGAAAACAGAAAGAAACCATGGTGGTTTATATGCTCTTACACATCTTACCTATATGTCTACTACTGGCCATTGTCAAGACAGAACATACCAGCCTAGGGATGGTTGCTTTGAACGAGTAGGCTGGTTCTTATGTTTTCATGTATGTTACTTCAACTACATGTGATATAAATACATTGTTTACATGTATTATATTTGTAGTAACTTATTGTGGATACACAAAGTCTGTATTAGGTTTAGCTAAAATAAAATTAAACTAGTCAAGTTCTTCTTTTCAAACAGCTTATACCACTGAAGTTTTCTTGAAGAATACGTAGATTTGGTGTTACTTGAGTCATCTGTCACACTGACCCTTCCGCAGGGCAGTACAGATAAAAGGGGTGACTTTAAAACGATGGCAATTAGGCAACCTAAGTGCAGTCTGAGCTCTGCCCTTACAGCTCTGAGGTACCGCTAGCAGGGTTTCCCACATTGGACATGTTCTGTGTAAGTTAGGATGGACGAGGGACAGTAAAGGATGGCTTGCAACATATTGGTATAAACCACATACATCTCTTTCCTGAGAAGGCTATCCTAAAATACTGAAATAAACTGAAAATGTATTCCTGAAGAAAACCTGCTTTGGTGTGTGGGGAAAAGCCAAGTTTCTAATTTACAGCAAGACTGGGTTGGGTTTAGTGCCAGCTTCTCCCTTCCTAGTGATAAGCCCCGGAGCTATTAAAGAGATGTGCCTGGAAGTGAAGGCGCAGCCTCCCCGCCCGCTGCCCGGGTCCTGCCGGCTGCCCATCTGCCCGACTCCCCGTGACTGCCGTTCCCGGGCAGGTACGCGGGGCCGGGCCGGGCCGGGCGGCCACTCCGCCGCGAGGTGTGTCCGTGTGCGGCGGCTCGGCGGTGCCTTGGCGAGCGATTGGGCAGGGCGGGCGGGCGAGCGGCTCCGCGGCTCCCCCGCTGGGCTCCCGCCGCCGCGCTCCCGCAGTAGCAGCGCGCTCCCCGCCCGCGCCGCCGCCCGCCCCGCGCCGCTCCCGCCGCTCCGCTCCTCCAGCCCAGCCCGGCCCGGCCCGGCCGCAGCCGCCGCGCCGCATCATGCCGCATCCCGCGGCGCCCCTCGGGGCCGCCCTGCTGCTCGTCCTGCTAGCGGCGGACTCCTCGCAGAGTGAGTACCGCGGGGGGCCCGTCCCCCCGCACACGCCGCCGAGCATCCCCCGCCGCCCTGTGTGTGTGTGTGTGTGTGCGAGCGCGGGATGTGCGGCTGGGGCAGGGGTGGGGTGCGGGGGGATGCGCAGATTCGCGGCTGCGGTAGGGACGGCGGCTAGCGGCGGGTGCAGCGGGAGATGCGGGTGAGGGGCCGCGCCGAGGCCGCGGCGACCCACGGGGGAAGCGCCGGGCAGGGAGGGGGCTCGGTGCACCGCGGAAGGAGGGTCAGTGCCCTCCGGCTGGGCGGTTTGGTGTGCGGGGTGGGAGATCGGCGGGTTCGGGGCGGCCAGGCGGGCTCAGATGTTCACCGTTGCTCCTTCCTCCTGCTCCTCTCCTCCTCCTCGTCCTCCTCCTCGCCTCCCCCGCGCCGCCCCGGCGCTCGGCTGCCCAGCCGTGCTGCTGCGCGCCCCGGAGGCTGCCCAGTTCCTGCGGCAGAGGCAGCGGCGAGCCTACCAGATCTTCGAGGAGACCAAGCAAGGGCACCTGGAGAGGGAGTGCGTGGAGGAGCACTGCAGCAAGGAGGAGGCCCGGGAGGTGTTTGAGAACGACCCGGAGACGGTAAGCGCGCAGAGCCGCCGCGGAGATTTTGGTGGGTTGTCCGGCTCTGCGCTCCCGCCCACTCTCTATCCGTCCGCGGCTGGGTGCCAGCTGCCGGCACAGCTGGGTAAGCCGTGGGGAGAAGGAGGACTCAGGACCATTAGGTGAATGGAAAGCAATTAGGAAGACACAGTAGTACTCAGCCTGCGCAAGGGCAGTCAGGGCTGTCCAGTTAGGAGTGCCTTGGTGAGCGTGGTCTGGGTGAGCGGCCTGGCCTGGCACCTGTTTACCATGGTATAAATCCATGAAGCAAGACCAGAGCGACATAGTGATACAGCTTCTCTGTCTGGACATGTTACCATCGCTCCTCTTTACTTCAGCTTCCCATCTCAGCTGTATTTAAAATCCTCTTAATGATGCGGCATATGTCACAACAGGAGTTCCTCGGAAGAAGTATGTCTAACCACTTGTAAATCTGTTGGGGTCATATTCAGCTTGGTCGATATCTTGGAATCAGGAGGTTCAGGACCCGTCACTACAACAGCAGGAGAGCACATGTATGGAAATGTGGTATTGCTGCACTAACAGGTGTGGATTCACACGGTTACAGAATGCACACTGCACACAGAGCTGTCTTTTCCAGTCTTATCAAGGCTGACTTTCACTTCAGTCTTCTCACTTTGAGCAGCATGTGGATGCTTTACTAAGCTTGGCTTATTCTTCCAGTCACTTTACACCTCCTCTCAACACTGTTTTGGATAGGATCTTCTCATTGCAAAGATTATCTGGAATTGATTTAGCAGTGAGAAGTGGATTTTCTTGGTGTTCAGTCTAAAGCTTGATACTGCACAGCATGTTCCTGTTAAATGGTATGATGCTCTAGGGAGAAGATAGGACAGAGAGAGAGAGAGAGAGAGAGAGAGAGGGAGAGAGCACGTGTGTGTGTGTGTGTGTGTGTGTGTGTGTGTGTGTGTGTGTGTGTGTGTGTGTGTGTGTGTGTGTGCGCGCGCGCGCACAGACGCACAAACCACAGGCAAGGGAGGGTCTCAGCTGAGGACATGTTTTATGCTTCAGTCAGACAAGTCTTGACATGTGTGCTTCATTAGCAGTCTCAGCACTGGATATAGAGCGCAGTAGCTTGTTGTCACAAGGCAGTAGTAAGTACAGCAAAAACATTATGATGGATTTTTGACAATCTTTATTTTAGATATTAATGTGGAGCACTTGCCCAGGCAGTGTTTAATGTTACACCTCTTATGTGTATGTGTAGTCACATCTGCATACAGCAGTGTTTGCTTTGTTCTGCAAAAAGTGAGCTACAGTGGATAACTGTAATGTGGTGAGCATGGCTGGTACAACTGTTTGCATATTCATGTTGAGTAATACAACTTTAAGGTCAGTATAAATATTCACCACATAGCAGTGAATGCAGGGAAAACTATAAGTGTGATTTTGTAGCATTCTGGAACAAAGGTGATGTAAGGTCACTGGTTTTACTAACTGGCTTCTGGCCAAGAAAGGAACTGAAGGCAATGCCTCGATAGATCAGTTTAGAGAGTGGTATACTGTGTAAATATGTTTTTAACAATATTTGGTAATTATTTTGTAAATTGAAAAAATTATACAGTTCTCCTGCTGTAATGACAATAGTGAAATCATTTTGGTTTAAAACATTTTCATGTATAGTGTAAATTCTTTAAGATACAGTCATGCCCCTTAAATGTATTTTGTAAGACAATGCCAACTTTCTGTCATTGCAAAGGATTTTGATTTTTTTGGTGCATTTCCTTTGTTACTGCTGCTTGGTTTCACTCAGTTCTTAAAACCACTGAAGAAAGGCTAGATGGACTTCTAGTGTCTGTGCCCCCTTGCTTATTTGACATGTCCTTCTAGACTAGGACTCTTATGTCTTCAGTGACATAAGATCCTGCCTTTTCCTCCCAAGAGCTGTGAAGTTGCTTGTTACGTGCAGTATGTCCTACTCCTTGCCATAACTTTGCTTCAATTTGATTGAGAAGCAAGTGTGCCACCACGTATCAGGAGGATTTATGACCTTTCCTATCCATTTTGCAATCAGTGTGTGACATGAAGGGAGCAGCTGCTGTTCAGTAGCAGTTTTCTAATGCAGGGTGGCAGAGGTCATGTATGTGGGCTGTTACAGCTCTGCATGGGAAACCTTCTGTGCTTTGTAAGGCATAGGTGACTGCTCCTCCAGCAGTCTCTGTGGATTGGATGGACAGAGTATTAATACACAGTGGAAGTTTTTCTTAAACAATAGGGAGTTATTGTGCTGTCATTTCACTGATGTTGTGTTGTACGTCCAGTCCTGGTGACTGACAGAAGAAGGAAGCTGAGACAGACTTGACTCAGGAAAGACAAAAATTGTTGCAAACAACACCAGGCATTTTGAAGAATCACAGTAACTGCAATCATGGTTCAGCATACTGTCAGGCTGCAGCTGATCCATGCTGGTAAAATGAGATTTTATTGACCAGGGAACTATACAGATTGCTGTTGACAGAAGATGATTCTCTGTAGTTAGGAAGGCTGAAATTTTTGCATCTGCCTGCTGAACCTGGTCATAGGGATTAACTGCCTAGGTTGTAGCAGAAAGAAACAGCAACAGCCCTTTTTACACCTGTGCTAAGCACTGTGGCTTAGCCTCATAGCAGGCAAGCCATGGGGAACACATCAGTGCATTACTCATCTATTCTGTTGCATCTCCCAGGTTTTATGCTTTAAAGCACCAGATGAGCATCAGTGTAGGCATTTGCCTGTGTGCTGTCCCATGGGAGACATGATCTTGCAGCCTTGACAACTGAAGGTTACTTTGAGGTTAGTTAATAGCTTCTCTGTTCAACCTCAAGAAGTGCTTGTGATGTGAGACCAAAAGTGTTGTCCCTCTTCCCTTTTCCTCTCCATTAGATGCTAATGAAATGTGTGAGTCTTCCTCGTAAACCTTACCATTCTGAACTATCCTGTGGTTGTGTGAAGAGAATTTCAAGGCCTAACTTCAAGACCTATGACCTAAAGATATGATAGAAAATTTCATTAACTGATTCAATCAAACAGCCCCAGAAGTTGAGGTAAGATGAAGCAAGGCCACAGCGTAGCTTGCATGATGCTTCCCAGGTAAAACTATGTCTTGATACAGTCAATTATAATATCTAGCCAAGAATAACATTATACAGAAAGATACCTATTTCCTGGACAGACCACTAAATAGAAATGAAATGTCGCATATCTATATCAGAGCACCCTTTTTCTGTGCCTTCCATTGTTTCAGTGATCAGTTTTCCAAAGCAACATCTGCAGGCCTAGTCAGCAGAAGATGCACATTCACTGAAACCTAAATGTGGGTGTTGCCACATGTGGAGTTATTTACATCAACTGCTAAGAATAGTGTATTAGGCGGGTCTAAATAGCCATTCATTTGCAGGCCAGTGCAGCTTTTGTCTTTTATGTTACGGAAAATATAAATATCAGCTCGCTCAGACTGGAGGAAGGAAGATCAATTGAAATATTTTTAGATTTTTTTTTTGAGAGGCAGAACAAAACTCAGTCTGTGCCATTTGTATGACTATACATGGTAAAAACAAGTATGCACCTGGGATAATGAGTCTTGCAGCCTACTTTTTTCATGAAGGTGATTGCAACATTCTTAAATATTACTGGAGAATTCTGGGATGGTTCCTGTTTTATAATTTCATTTATGCTAGAGGTGCCCAACAGAAAAATTAAAAGATAATATAGTGAGGAAAAAAAGAAGGATGAAAAACATGTTCATGGGAGGTATGAGGACTGTTTCTAAACATGATCTATTAAAAAGATAGGCTAGGTGTGATAGATGGGACGAAGTTGCAAAATATCTTGGATACAGAGATAAGAATGTTATCTTACTTAGCGTGTTGATGAGGCCTTATAAAAAGCAGTACTGCAGAAATATTTGACCTTGGTATGCAGTCAAGGTATTACAGCTTGTTAAGTGACTGATAAACTACTCTGGAATTTGGTTGACCTATTCTAAAAATCTGGTCATCCAAGCACGTAAAACAAAGGGCAGAAGGGAGTGTATCTTCTGGTAGTCTTGGAAACATTGGATTTCACTAAAGAAAAAATACAGCAAAAAAGTGTCCTTGTGAAAGGAGTTTCTCTGTTTTGAAAGGCTCAGCACAGGGAAGGTGTTTGAATGCAGGCTCTTATCATTTGGTACCATAGTTTGTCCATACAGCATCTGTCCCTGCACATCTTGCTAGCTGTTGTTACTGCCAAAGAATTCTGGTCTTCCTGCAGCTCACCATAGAAATTGCCGTGCTGAATACATTTAAAGGTGTGAGTCACACCGGAAACGCTGATGTAGGTCAGCCTGGCCACCTGTGTTTACTGTTTATGGATTTGGTCCTCAGTAGATTATTGGGAAAGCCAGCTGGTTTTCATGTGTGTGCAGAACGGACATCTGATTCATAGGCAGGCACTTGAAATGTTCTCCTGTTTTTTGAGGGACTTGCATTCAAAATGCTATTAAAACCTACAGCTTGTCAGATACACAAAACACTGGCAAAGAATCACAGGGTAACTTGGGACTGAAAAGGTATCTAGTCCACTGTCCCTCTCACAGCAAGTGCAGCAGTGACACCAGATCAGGCTTTTGGGGGCTTTTTGCAATCCTGTCTTGAAAATTACTGATCCTGACAAAACATCCAACAATGTCAGCATTCTTTCTGCTAGGGTGGATTTTATTGAGAAGCTGAAATGCAGATGAAGCAATGTATAGGGTGTGATAATGGTCAGTTTGGTTGGCTTTCACAATATTACTAGCTCACTTGGTTTTATTTCTTTATGTATTCCATGGCATGACATGGTCATGATAACACAGATGAGCTGCGTGCATGGACTAGGGTCATCCAAACTTTACTCTGATCTTTCAGGAAGGGTGCCTGTCAGGCAATATTTAGGTATTATTTCTAAGAATAGCAAGGCAGATACACATTTGTAAATACTAATCAGAAAAGTATGAAGGC